CAACAGACTGGGATACATAACTTGTAGACACCACTCCTCGTTGAATATCTCTTGCACCCTACCTACATCGACAACTTTGTCCGCCGCCCTCGCCCCCGTCCCTAGTATGAACTCGGTTACCAACAATTTCAAAACATGCATGTTCCGAGTTCAAAACCAACCTTCACCGACACTACTATGAACTCGGCCCCTAACACTTCCAAAACATGCCTGTACTAACTTTGAAACCACCATCGGTGAAAACTTCACCGACCTTAGTATGGACTCTACACCTACCGATTCCAAAACATGCATGTTCCGAGTTCAAAACCATCCTTCACCGACACTAGTATGAACTCGGCTACCAACAATTCCAAAACATGCATGTTCCGAGTTCAAAACCAACCTTCACCGACACTAGTATGAACTCGGCTACCAACAATTCCCAAACATGCATGTAACAACTTTCCAACCTGCCTCAGTGCTAACAAAATTCCCCGACCCTAGTATGAACTCGACTGCCATCAATTCCTAAACATCCATGTACCAACTTTGTAACCTACCTCGGTGAAAACTTCACCGACCTTAGTTTAACTCTACCTAACAATTCCAATGATGCATATACGAACTTTGTAACCTGCCTCGGTGAAAACTCCCCTGACCCTAGTATGGACTCTACACCTACCGATTTCAAAACATGCATGTTCCGAGTTCAAAACCAACCTTCACCGACACTAGAATGAACTCGGCTACCAACAATTCCTAAACATGCATGTACCAACTTTGCAACCTACCTCGGTGTTAACAAAAACTCCCCTGACCCTAGTATGGACTCTACACCTACCGATTCCAAAACATGCATGTTCCGAGTTCAAAACCAACCTTCACCGACACTAGTATGAACTCTAGCCCTACCGATTCCAAAACATACATGTTCCGAGTTCAAAACCAACCTTCACCGACCCTAGTATGAACACGGCCCCTAACAATTCCAAGGATGCCTGTACCAACTTTACAACCTGCCTCAGTGTTAGCAAAACTCCCCGACCCTAGTATGAACGCGACTGCCAACAATTCCTAAACATGCATGTCCCAGCTTTGTAACCTGCCTCGGTGAAAACTTCACCGACCCTAGTATGAATGCGACTGCCAACAATTCCTAAACATGCATGTCCCAACTTTGTAACCTGCCTCGGTGAAAACTTCACCGACCCTAGTATGGACTCTCTACCTATCAATTCTAAAACATGGATGTATCAACTTCGAAACATCCCTCTGTGTTAACAAAACTCCCGCGACCCTACTATAGACTCGACCCCTAACGATTCCAAAACATGTATGGTCTACCTTCGAACCCTGCCTCGGTGAAAACGTCACCGACTCTAGTATGAACGGTGCCCCTACCCAACTCCAAACCTTCCCTGGGCACCCGAATAAAAAATAACTCACCCAGCCCCTTAATCAATAAAAATTATTGATTTGTACTTTAGAGTGAATAGATTGAATGATATGTATGCTAATGTCATATGATATTTAGTTTTTACGTCATTATTTTGGTGAACTTTAAATGTAGACATTTTAAACGGTGTGTCATTTGACACGACGTTGTTGTTTTTTAAAACTTGAAGTTTATAATCTTAAGCAAATTTTTACTAAGGTGATCAAAAATTAAGATGACAATGTAAGGTATAGAAAAAGAAAATACATTGAGTGGTAAAAATAAAAACTTGTCATTAGACGTAGTGTATTATGTATAAGTAAACTTTCTTAAAAATTAACGAAGTTCAAGTCAAAAAGAAGTTTGATGAAAACTGTAATACTAAAGCGAACATGGGGAGGTAATCTGCTGCAAGACTAAGATATATATTCGTCTTCCTTCTAGGTTCATTGCCTTTTTTGGTTGAGGTTAAACATCGCCATGTTTTCAAATATCGCGATGTACGTCACGTTCTCTCCCCTCTTACCTAGTAATCGGTTCCTCTACCCATTGTTTACAACACGCTTACAAAGAAAAAATATCCCACCCTCTACTTGAGACATAAAATACAAAAGTGTATTGTGCCTTGTCGTCACAGGAAACAAAAACGGTAGCGTCTAATGTTGTTAACCCTTGTCTTCCTAAATTATTTTTTAACTTGTTAAAGAAATTGACTGTTTAGTTAAGGAATCTGACGCGAATTTTTTTTTTCACAAGGGACGATACTCGTGTGTGTAGACAAGTCTGTTCTAATTTTAGAACAGTTGTCTTTCCTCTCGTTTCTCTATTAGGGAAGCCGTAAGGGGAAGACACGCGACACGTCTTTTAAAATGTAAACAACCGTGCACGGGGTACACTTAAAATAAACCCCGCTGCGAAAATGACAATGGCATGGTGACACTTTTTGGAAAACACGCTTTCATGTAAATAAAATAAGAGTCGCTTTTGTTGTCGCCATGATAATGTATACCTATAAGTTCTCTCCGCCATTACCGACCTAGTATGAATTTCGCGCGCGCGCGCATGTGTGTGTGTGTGTGTGTGTGTGTGTGTGTGTGTGTTTGTGTGTGTGTGTGTGTGTGTGTGTATGTATATCTCAAAAAAGCGTATCATGTCAACACCTGGGCAACAAGTCATAGTCAAAAAGGCCTAATTCATTACAGATCTATAGGAAATCCCTCTTTACATGTACTTACGTTAGGGGGAGTAAACTCATTTGAATAAAAAAAAAAAAAAAACGTATTTAAATATATAGAGTTATAGAACCTTAACCCCGCATACCTACGTACCAACGCATCAAGTCGCCCTGTCGCCCATTAAAAAACACGAACCTACCGAGACTTCGTTTCGTCTCAAAACCTGACTTAACGGTGGTTGAAAGAAAATTCCGACCCTTAAATATATTTTTGTTTTCGCTGACCCTCGCTATAAGCGAATAGTTACAACCATTAATCTTTCATACATAGCAAGGGACGGTTCGCAGGACATGTGGAAACAAATTTTTTTAATTTGATCAAAGAATGACCGGGCGTACGATATGTGAACATAGTTCATGTACAGCTGAAGTCTAATGAAAAAAGCCGAGAGCCGTGACTAATTACAGCACCAGCTGTCGCCACACTTAACGCGGAGAGGGACTTAATGGTTTCGATTAATTACCTGTTGTGATCGCTTCAGTGAGTCCGCTATTAAGCAACCACGGGGAGCGCCGGGGAGGCTCACGGGCGGATCGATAAGTACAAGCTGTCGCTAATAAGTAACAGCTGTGGTTAAATGGATGTTATACACAATGACACTTTCTAGTACACGCTAGTGTTAGTCTTTTATTTCAAACGGCGTACAACAAAGAAATTAAAAGCAAACTAATTAAAATGAATTTCAAACAAATAAATTAATCGAGCCTAGTATGAACACGGCCCACCCCAATTCCTAAAACATGCCTGTATCAACTTTGTAACCTGCCTCGGTGAAAACTTCACCGACCCTAGTTTGAAACCTACCAACTCCAAAGCATGCATGTAACAACTTTGAACCAAGCCATGGTGAAACCAAAACCATACCACCCTAGTATAAACTCTACACCTAGCAATTCTTAAACATGTATGGTTCGAGTTCAAAACCAACCTCGGTGAAAACTTCACCGACCCTCGTATAAACTCTACACCTAGTAATTCTTAAACATGTATGGTTCGCGTTCAAAACCAACCTCGGTGAAAACTTCACCGACCCTAGTATGAACACGGCCCCTAACAATTCCAATGATGCACGTACGAACTTTGAAACCACCCTCGGTGTAACCAAAACACATCCGTCCCTAGTGTAAACTCTACCACATCCAACTCCTAAACATGCATGGTCCGAGTTCAAAACCCAACCTCGGTGAAAACTTCACCGACCCTCGTATAAACTCTACACCAACCAACAACAAAACATTGCCTCGGTGAAAACCAAAAACCTATGATACTGTCCGTATAACTGTTAGTGAAAAGCATGGGATCCAAGCACGGGAAAGCCACTTAATGTACGTCGTTAATTACCATACCCCCCGGTGGGATCGCTTCGCGAACCCACATAAATCATCATGACCCGTCAAATCGAGCGGGGAAAAACCCACGATGCATGACCAAATTAATTAGGTGTGATGGCCCCGTGGGTGCGATCAATACATTCCCATTAAAACGGGCAGCGGCGAGAAAACCTCACTAGTAGATCGATAAGTAACACATGTTGCCCGCCTGGTTAAAGGCTGGTATACAAAGACTGTTCTAGTACATGCTAGTGTTAGTCTTTTATTTAAAACATACATACATTCAAATAAACAAACCAACAAATTAAACAAAAAAGTAAACAAATAAACAAATTTAAAAAATTTAAAATTAAAAAAAAAAAAAAAAATAAAATTTAAAAAATAAAATTTAAAAATTTAAAAATTTAAAAATTTAAAAAAATTTAAAAATTTAAAAAATTAAAATCCAATTACGTAACTCGTTAATAAAAATAATTAAAAAGTAAACAAAGTAATTAAATTCAAACTAATTATAAAAATTAATTAAAAAATATATTCAAACTAATTAAAAACACATTAAAATTACGTAACTAGGTCAATGATTACGTCACAATGTGACTGATTACGTCACAAGGTCAGTAATTACGTCACAAGGTCAATGATTACGTCACAAGGTCACCAAAAGGTGACCTACTTCCCCACCACCTCCGCCAACCCCGGTTGGCGTAGTATTTTACTATATGTCTTTGCGCATCCTGCGCATCCTGCTCACCCACCCTCCACATCCCGATGCGCCAGCCTGGGAGTATTTTGCTATATGTCATTGCGCATCCCGCGCATCCTGCTCCCGAGTATTTTGCTATATGTCATTGTTCCTCCACATCCCCACCTCCGCCAAAAATGCGGTCCAAAAGCGACCTAATATACTACTCTTGTCCCTCATTAAAAATGTCGTCTTGTCCCTAATTAAAAATGTCGTCTTGTCCCTCATTAAAAATGTCGTCTTGTCCCTCATTAAAAATGTCGTCTTGTCCCCAGTTCTGCCCGTCAAATGTATACTCAGCCGGCGACTGATCGAGGCTGAGGTCGAGTACCAGACGACGGCCGGAGACTGGAGAAGTTCCCGGGGGTCGTTCTACAGTATCGAGACGGGCATCGTCGACCTGGCCGACTCTAGCGCCAAACTGGTGCCAGTCTTTGGAGACTCGGCGCTGACCCTCCATTTGGTCAGGGAGTGTCCGCTAGGTGACCACATCAAACAGCTGTCCAAGGTGGCCGAGTGGGCCTCAGGGGCGGTAAGTCAGGGACTCATTGTCCATTTTGTGCTTCAGGGGCGGTAATGCGGCGGATTTGTTCTATTGTTAAGTGGGCTTCAGGGGCGGTAAGTCAGGGACTCATTGTCCATTTTGTGCCTCAGGGGCGGTAATGCTGCGGATTTGTTCTACTGTTAAGTGGGCTTCAGGGGCGGCTAGTCGGGGACTGACTGTCCATTTTGTGCCTCAGGGGCGGTTATGCGGCGGATTTGTTCTACCGCCAAGTGGGCTTAGGGGCAGTAAGTCGGGGACAATTTCCACTATTGTTAAGTGGGGGTTCAAAGCGGTAGGTTTGAAGATTTGGTCTACTTTTAAGTGGGCATCAGGGGCAGTAAGTCGGTGGGGGGGGGGGGGGGAGATTAGCCCTACTGTCAATTGGGTGTTTAACACATAATATAATAATATAAGATGTATTTTTGTTTTGGACTACGGGCATACTTGCACAAAAATCAAGTGTTTCCTTTTCCGCTTTTAAGTTCAGTGACCTCAGCAAATGAAGTAGAGTGTGTTACAGTGACCTTGGGCAGTGTGGTCAGTGACCTTGGGATAGTGTGGTCAAGCACACGTGTGCTCCTCAGCATTTAACTAACCACGATAGCTGCCGGTCTGATGCAGGTCGCTGTGTGTAAAACTGAGCGAACTAAACAGATCAGCTAACTGATACACTAATGGTCCACGGCCCGAACAGCGTGCAGTACTTAGGGGTAAAAAATACAACCATTTTGTTTAGAGTAAATACTGTCCCAACTGGCAAGAAAACTGGTCGTGAAGCCGGTAAAAATCTGGCACCACAACAAACTATCTGCCCTTTCAGCTAAACTTGCCAAATTGCCAGTAAGAAAAACAGAAAACGAGTTTTAAAACAATCGTTTTACTTTTTTGTTTTACTCTAAACTTTGGAAGAAAAACGAAACAAAAAAACAAAAACCTCGTTTTACAACTCGCCCAGGTGAAGCTTTTAACTTTTTTATTAGACAATAACGCTAACCCTAACTCTACCTGGCTCGTCCGTACGTCGAATCACCCACAGGCATGCATTAGCCAGACTAAAATTAAATTACACCAGAACATTCGGTCCAGACAGGCTAGCACTGTTCTCCCGCCATCTGGAAGACCTCCATCGTTTTGATGATCTATTTCCGCTCTCGACGTCCTTGACCTACAAAAAAATTTAACTCCCATCATTGAAGTCAAACTTTTTTTAGTCCAACAAATTTGAATTTTTACTACCAATTTTTTAATGTTTTCTCTGTCCATGTTGTTAAAATATTTCGCTCGGGAATTTTAACTTCCAGAACGTCCGCCGAAATAATTTTGCTGATAAGTTTTGACCTCACTGGGGATTAACGTTGAGGCTATCTGGTTGTAAAAACACAGAGACATGTGTCTGATGTATGATACAATGTTTCAACAGGGGTATCTGGGTATCAGGCTGTTTATGTGGGTATCAGGCTGTTTATGTGGGTAGGCGCGTCCCTTGTTTAGCTTAACTGCTTACAGATATGGGGTCGAAGTGGAAAATGTATGTATGTTGTGTTGTGAGTTGTCTGAATGTCGTGTTGTCTGAATGTTGTGTTTAGTGTTGTCTGAATGTTGTGTTGCTCTCTGTAATTTACTTTCATCAACAATTTTGTGCTATGTACAGAACTTTTTTTTTTAAATTAACACAGTTAAAAAAATATTTTTCACTCAAATATTTCGAGAACATTTGAACTGTACCCTACCCCCTAACCAACATTTGAGAACCTCTGTTAGCTGACCCGTGTCCCATTGTCTCCCCCCTCCCCACCCCACCATTTGACCCCTATGGGTTGACCCGTGTCCCATTGTCCCCACCCCACCATTTGACCCCTATGGGTTTACCCGTGTCCCCTTGTCTCCCCCCTCCCCACCCCACCATTTGACCCCTATGGGTTGACCCGTGTCCCCTTGTCCCCCCCCCCACCCCACCATTTGACCCCTATGGGTTGACCCGTGTCCACTTGTCTCCCCACCCCTGTGCATTGACCCGTGTCCCCTTATCTCCCCAGTACGACTACAACTTCGTCCAGTCTGAGCGCGTGCTGAGGTACAAGGTGTCCCTCAGCTCCCACCCCACCGTCCAGCCCGAGGGCGGGGATGAGCAGCTGGTAGAGAACATGTACATGAACTGTGACGGAGAGGCCTTGAAGATCCACAGGGCCAACTTTCAAGTCAGGTGAGTGGCGGGCCGCTTGTTGCCTGCAAATTATCGTCTGCTGCTGGTCTGTAGCCCAGTTATCGGCAGACGGCTAATTATAAAAAAAAAAAGTTATAGGAATTGGTTATAAACTTCATTCATTAAATTCGTCCTTGAACTCTCGCGTTTGGCTAATTACAACGTGGTTTTTTTTCTGCGTGCTGTAACAACACTAGACTTATTTTTTTTTTAAATAAAAAATTCTAAAACATGCAACGTTATTTTTAATAGATTTAATTCTCGTTTGGTACACATATCAGTGCGTGATGCTGAAACTTTGTGAATTTAAATTCTTTATTTCTCGTCTGCTACAGACATGCCACCATAAGGTGGTGCTGACTTCAGTGGTAACCAATGGTTCCACTACAACACGTGACATCAGTGTAACCAATGGTTTCACTACAACACGTCTCCAGACATTGACTAGAGTCTGGGTTGGCGCTAAATAATGCATATTCTATATTTGTAAATACTAGATTGCTTATAAATGTGGCTCCGGGTACACAATTGAAAGTAAATGCGCATAGTGGCTGTACCGTTGGCTGTTTTTATTTCTTGGTTGTTGTTTTAATGGTCCGAATGCGCATGCGTCGATTCACAATTTTTCCCTAGCGATATACAATGACAAAAAGTTTGGATATCAATGCATTACAACATCATTCACCTGGGCAGGTATGTGTACCTAGCGACCCTGAGTCCACCCAGCACTAATAAGTACTTGACTCCGAAAAAAAATTAGAAATGCTGGGCACACAACCTTTTCATATTTTAGGATCACAAAAATCACACGAGCTCTACTTCATCTGCCTGTACTGACCGTCAGGTCTGAACGTGTTGGCCTATTCAATTTTTTAATTCGTTAAACGAACCAACCATCTCTCTTCTGACTCAACTTGCTCATAAAAAAAACGTTTTTGTTGTTCCCACACGACTAATGACAAGTTCTCTAGCGTGTAGACTAACGACAAGTTCTCTAGCGTGTAGACTAACGACAAGTTCTTTAGCGTGTAGACTAATGACAAGTTCTCTAGCGTGTAGACTAATGACAAGTTCTCTAGCGTGTAGACTAATGACAAGTTCTCTAGCGTGTAGACTAATGACAAGTTCTTTAGCGTGTAGACTAATGACAAGTTCTCTAGCGTGTAGACTAATGACAAGTTCTCTAGCGTGTAGACTAATGACAAGTTCTCTAGCGTGTAGACTAATGACAAGTTCTCTAGCGTGTAGACTAATGAAAAGTTCTCTAGCGTGTAGACTAATGACAAGTTCTCTAGCATGTAGACTAATGACAAGTTCTCTAGCGTGTAGACTAATGACAAGTTCTCTAGCGTGTAGACTAATGACAAGTTCTCTAGCGTGTAGACTAATGACAAGTTCTCTAGCGTGTAGACTAATGACAAGTTCTCTAGCGTGTAGACTAATGAAAAGTTCTCTAGCGTGTAGACTAATGACAAGTTCTCTAGCGTGTAGACTAATGACAAGTTCTCTAGCGTGTAGACTAATGACAAGTTCTCTAGCGTGTAGACTAATGACAAGTTCTCTAGCGTGTAGACTAATGACAAGTTCTCTAGCATGTAGACTAATGACAAGTTCTCTAGCGTGTAGACTAATGACAAGTTCTCTAGTGTGTAGACTAATGACAAGTTCTCTAGCGTGTAGACTAATGACAAGTTCTCTAGCGTGTAGACTAATGACAAGTTCTCTAGCGTGTAGACTAACGACAAGTTCTCTAGCGTGTAGACTAACGACAAGTTCTCTAGCGTGTAGACTAATGACAAGTTCTCTAGCGTGTAGACGTCAAGAAACTCGCCTCCTCTCCCGCGGTTGCAAGCCACAAGATGAGCAAGGGGAGTTAAAAACTATCACCTGTTTTTGTCTCCCCTGCGTTGTGTTTTGTAAACACGCCCATCATTTGGTTGCCTGGTTTTTGTTTAGCACGCGGTAATTACTTGTTGCCAAACAGCTCGGGTTCTGCTAGCTTTTGGTTCACCGGTCATTCCCGGCTTCTTGCTAGCTGCTTCAATTTCCAGATACTAGTATGAAATCATTTTTATTTTGAAAATAAAAACACATCTAATTTAACTTGAGTCTAGTTTTACCACCTAATACACAATTTAAGTCTAGTTTTCCTATCTTTAATCCCAACATTTTAGTCTAGTTTTCCCACCCATAATTCATCATTTGTCTATTTTTAAAACGTTTTTCTTAACTCAGCTTCGCGTTTGTTTGTTTGTTTGGTTGTTTGGATGTTTGTTGTTAAAATTGACATCGAAAATTAGCCCACTTCTGATTGCTCTAGAGACCTGAAATTTGGCATGCATGCTACTTTCGCCTAACAATTTCAGATGCAATCATAAAAACTAGCAATTATTGACCGTAATTAGCTGAATTTAATTACGCCCCAAGGACCATAAAATCGAGGACATGATTTCTAAAGATACCGACAAGACTTGAGGCCTATTGACACAGTTACTTCGGCCCCAATCGATGTGAGCGCGCTGGCCGTGATCGTATAGTGGTTAGTACTTCGCGTTGTGGCCGCGACAACCCAGGTTCGAATCCTGGTCGCTCAAGATTTTTAGTCCGTGTATTTATAAACATTTTTTTAAAAACCACGTTTTTCATGTGTAGCAACGGACTAAAAAGGAGAAAATAAAATACTTAAAAAAAACTTTTTAAAAAACCACGTTTTTTATGTGTAGCAACGGACTAAAAAGGAGAACGGACACGGTAACACATTGTTAACGGTGACACGGTTGGTACGCTGGGCATGCTAAAATACACATAAACACGTTTTTCCTTAACTCAGCTTCGCGTTTATTTGTTTGTTTATGGGAGATTTGATCACGTGATTCGTGAGTAGATCTCCAAGCCAGCAACGTAAATTACACCCTTTCTCTGTTTAAAGCGTATCGGTCGCTCAAGATTTTTTTAGTCCGTGTATTTAAAAACACTTAGTCAAGTCATACTTAATCAAGTGATTAGATAAAGTAGAAAATAAACTATATAAAAAACTTTTTAAAAACCACGTTTTTCATGTGTAGCAACGGACTAAAAAGGAGAAAATAAAATACTTAAAAAAAAACTTTTAAAAAACCACGTTTTTCTTGTGGACTAAAAAGTAGAAAATAACTATTTACATACATTTGATGACAAAAAACGTGGGTCGGGCAGATGGGTCGGGAAATTTGATGGTGAACGTACCCACGTTTTTTGTCATCAAATGTATGTAAATAGTTATTTTCTACTTTTTAGTCCACAAGAAAAACGTGGTTTTTTAAAAGTTTTTTTTAAGTATTTTATTTCCACCTGTATTTAAGAAATGAGTCTAGTTTTCCCATCTCTAATCCCAACATTTGCGTCTAGTTATCCCACATGTAATTTAACATTTGAGTCTAGTTTTCACACCTGTAATTTAACATTTGAGTCTAGTTTTCACACCTGTAATTTAACATTTGAGTCTAGTTATCCCACCTGTAATTTAACAAATGAGTCTAGTTTTCCTACCTGTAATTTAACATTTGAGTCTAGTTATCCCACCTGTAATGTAAATGATGTTGTTGTTCCAGGTTACACACTGGTATTGTGCAGTTGTTCGGCACCACCCACACAGGCGAGCTGGGTGATGTCTCGTCCACAGTTTGACCTTCACCCTGACCACTGCGACCACCACGAGGAGTTCTCTACCCCTGGATATTGTAGTATTTATTTCAGCCTGTAAAATACTGTAAAAACATTTTTTGTGTCTCCCTCTAATTTGTGAGTGCCACTAAGCAGAAAGTTTTTCTTACACATACGGGAACCTGAAAGATTATTTTAAAAGAGTTTTGCTCTAGTACTAGGGAATTTGCTTTAAAATTGGGTTGTTTTTATTGTTTATGTTTTTATTTCAACAAACGATGTGCTAAACATTACAGACATTTTAATTCATTTCTTTTTTTTTCCTTTTTTTTTTAAAGATAAGACTCATTAAGATTTACTTTAATTTTCAAATTTACTCTTCACTTTAGACCCCCATTCTGTAAACATTATGACGTTAATGTGATTTCTTGAGATGTAATTAATTATTTGCTAAATGCCATGTTGACTTGTTGTTGTTATATGTACATAGAAATATATCCATACAGGAAACAATCAAATAATGATTGACGTTGCACTATAGCAGTTGTCTAATTGATGCTAATTAGTGGCGGTATGACCACTGTCAAGATACTGCCCATCCAAGGACCTCTAGCTAGCTGACCAGTGGCCACTACCTCTGTTGTTCAATAAAACCACAGACTAATGGCTCTACAACCCAAGGTCCTCTGTCTTTGCGCTGAGCAGTAAGGTCCATTCTGTGCTTCAAAATCCTCTTACAACAGCTCCATAATACATTTTACATATGCCAATACTCTTACATATTACATATTATAGTACTCTTACATATGACAGTAGGTACCCTTACAAATTTCAGTACCATTAAATGTCAGTATCATTACATATGACATATGAAGCCCTCACCTACAGTTCGTAAGTCGAAAAGTACCGCAGCAAATGGAGGACTATTTGTCCACCAGCTGTAGTAGACACACCTCAGGCTTGTTACTTGTATTGCGGGTAATTCTCCGCGAAGCTCCTTTACTGTTTTGTTGTTGAGACTATTAGACATTAGTACCAGAGGCAACACACAATACTTCAATGAGTAGATGCTACAACTTGTACATAATGTGAGAAATGTTGCTGTACACATGTTCTGCATAAACTAGAAGCTTATACGTGTTACAAAAACAATCTAAAGTAAAGTATTCCCGTGTGTTTTCAAGAGATATTAGGGTGATTTGTACCACAACGAAAAGTCGAAATGTCATACGCTATGAGAGAAATAGATCGTATTTTCATAGTTTTATCCAAGTGTCGTGCAATATGCTTACACTTTTCAATAGAAAGATTGGCTAGTTTTGAATCAAATGATATTTTTAAACACTGAATAGTGTACCACAAATGGGAAAGGTTGAAATCTGCCCTAGTCCGCTATTAGTTATTTTGTTTCTATAAATAGTAACTGATGACGTGTGTCCGGCTTGTAAGGTAAAGACTGACTTGACCCGATACCAATAGTTTGAGACATGCTATTCCCTATAATAAATGCTACGGTTATCGTTTTAACAACTACCAACAAATGTCGCTGTTTTCACGATTTATAAAAAAAATGGTCTTGTAACAATAGCACTATTCTAGATCTAAATGTGACTGTCATATTTAACACAAAAAAAGCTATGTTTGAATCGCTTTTATAAGTGTGCAATCGATTTCGACTCATTTAATTAACTTGTCTTCATACAATAGTTTTGCTTAATTTTTTTTTATGAGACAGAGGAAGTGGCGAAGAGATTTTTTTTTAAATATTTCATCAACAATAATGTAATTAAAACAGTCGTATAGTCAGTTTATTTTGTATTTTATTTTTTTCGCCAACAGCCGCAATACATGTGCAATGTTGTGCTTTTAAATTTTTTCTTAACAATTTATTAATTAAACCTCAAAATTATAAAGTGTTTTCTTTGTATTCCAGAAAAATACAACCAAAGCTATACTATAAGAGTATTAAATGAATGAGTCTAATCAAACAGGTTGTGACGATCGCGTAATTAAAAACGTTAAGCGTGTACATACAATGCTTCATTAAAATAGAAACATAAAACTCCTTGTGTACAAAACTTCATAATTTTTGTTGTGAGCAGTTGTACATATTGGCGTCGTTTGGTACAGATTGCTGTGTATTTTTGTTTTATTGTTGATTGTGGCCTGCATTTGGGATGACTTCAATCACATATGTGATTGTTTACATCATGTATGTGATTATTTACATCTCATATGTGAGTATTTGCATCACATACATTGATTCAAAGTGTAAATTAAATTATATACAAAATTTTGATTTGTGTATCAAAATTTCTATTGACGGGTCGAGAACCTTTTTAAGATACGAAAATTATCTTATGAAAACAGATTTGTTTTTTTCAATAAATTTCTGATGTAAGAATCTTAAAAGATTTATTTTACAAAATGATTTTTTAAATCGCAAAACTTTTATTTTTAATAATGGAATTGTCTTACAAGAGTAGAGTTACTATTTTTTTTTAAAGTTTAAAAAATGGAAATTTAAAATAAATATTCAAATAGAATCAACTAGATCTAGTTATTATAATCATGCGGATTATTGTTTTAAATGTATTTAATTATAAACTTGACCTATGGAAAGTAATTAATTGATTTGAAGCCGATGGTCCTGTAAATACAAGCTTTTTCGTTGCCATGGTGCTATGTCAACACAACGGTCCACACATTTTCTTGCCTTGCTAAGCACAAACAAAATGAATGTTATATCAAAATCACGTGACGTAATTTTTTCTGTTTCTGATTGGTTGTCTTGACTGTGGCTGTTCTAACAGCCTCCCCCTGGAACTGTACATTTTAAATCACAATTTTACCCTTTCTCTACTTCTTGTTGTAATTTTTCAGGCATTTCCACAACTGTACCTCCATACTTTGACTTGTATACATAATATATAAAAAAATTGTTGACTTTAGAAATATGTTAGCATAAGTCTAGTCCTTGAAAATTTAATCCATTTTTTTTACATAGGTCTATTCATACACTGAATTAGTGGGGGGGGGGGGGGGGGGTTCTCGAAAAAAAATTGTTAGAAATGGGAAATATTGTAGAAAAATAACTAAGAAAAGTTATAAAATTTATCTGGCAACATGGGGGTTCTTGAATGTGAAAATGCTAGCCAAATCGCTTATCTGTTTGGCAAGACAAATTAATTAGGTAGAAAAATGTTTTCAATATAAGTAGAATAAAACTCCAAATACTTGGGTTTTTTTATAAATGTGATAGCTGTGGTATTGATTAAATATTGTAAATAACATTAGTTTACACGAGTATGATGATAGTGTTGAAACAACGACCTCTCCCCATTTGTTTAAATTTCTGAATGTATGATATTCAACGTATACAGAAATGTCATATAGAACTTATCAGAGAACGGCCCATGTGTCTACTGTACATACATAATTGACAATGCCACTACTTTAACCAAGTATTGTATTCATCAATGCTAATATATCATTGAAGATTATATAGACAGAAAAACCCAATGTCCAGTTCCACTGGGCCAAACATGAGCTTTAAGCATTTTCATATTTTGTATTCGGTTATTGATTGCTTTTGTTGTTTTGTTTCAATTCGATATCCAACATTGGTTCTTATCATTCTCATGCGGTTGTGTTGGTGTGTATGCGTGTATGTATGGTGTATGTCTGAGAGAGAGATTTGTAATTATCTACTGATATACATGATGACGAGTTTATCCGATTCAACGCGTTATTTTCTGTGGATCAGAACGGACATTTTATTTAAAAACCTAACACTGAAACTATTTTCATTTATGACTACTCGATTACGTAAGCACAAAATATTAACTTGAGATACACGTTTTGTTTATTGCTTTAAAAATAAACTTCAGATTTTTTAAAAATATATTTTTAAATGTAAAGATTTCCTATTTTTTATTACATTTAAAATATTTTTAATGAACCGCCATTCTTGGTTAAACTTAACAGATTCTAAGTTCGTTGGATTGTAAACAAAACATAATTCGACAGTTGTAAAAAGTCATTGGTAACCGGTGTAGGTGTATGCTATTATGGACTACTTTTTCTTGCGGTGTATGCGTGTATTGCCATGGACTACTTTTTCTCGCGCAACAGTTTATAATTCCTGCTTCTCCTGGCTTGTGCAATTCGTCATCCATTTATCTGTGTATAGATATAAATAAACATTCATGCTTTTAAAGATACTTGAAAAAAATTAATCCACGTGATGTCAAGTTTTTTTTCTTTGAATACTGAAACGACTTTTACATATTAAAAAATTTAATCAAGTGTTTCTGATAATGACTTTGGACTTTAAACTAATTATCTGGTTGTTTATTAAAGATTACTGGTCAACAAATTTGATGTGGTTATTTCTTTTTTTAATGAATTTTTTTTTCTCTGAGTAAGATGATTAAGTTTTATGAATTTTTTTTTAATGACCATGTTCAGATTTAATTAAAACATGTAAGAGCTACTTTAAAATGTACTACATGTGTCTTAAAAATGTGTTGTAATGTCATTAAAAAAATTTGAGCGATTTTTTTTTTCTTGATTTAGTGGATTTTTTGTGCTGTTTTGTATTAAAATGTATTCATAAACCTGGCTAAGTTTGTGTCTATGTTAATCATGTTTGACTTAGGATTAAGTTTACACGCTGGGGTCAACATTTCAAACATGCTCACCACCTGCGCGCAGGGGAGGGAGTGAGTATGCAACCACCTATATGGTGTACTCACATGTTGATTTAAAATTTGTTTACAACCGTGGAACACCTGAACAGGTGAGATCCACTAATTATATAACCACGGCACGAACCAACCTTCACATGTGAAATGTGATCACACAGGTCAGTTGTACTGCTATAAACAGCTACAAAAACTCAAGAATCTGCTCGAGTCAGTAATGGGGGAACTAAATTTGTTATTTTATTAAATTAAGTAAAACGAGGACGGACAGAGTACTGACTACATCAACCATTTGCATGCAGTTGTTATTAGATGAACATCCACGGTGGAAAAGAACGAAGTATACAAAATTGAAAAGATGGAGTTTAAGACACGTTAATGACACACGTTATGTATTAGCAGAATTTATAGATGAGTGTTGATGACAATCAACATTTCGTCTATGTTGACGTAGGGATCAGCACCTAGTTATAGTACAGGGAGTCTCAAAATTATGGCATTACAAGCCCAGCCTAGCTATGATACAGTGGGGAGTCTCAAATTATGGCGATACAAGCCTCACCTAGATATGGTAGAGGAGTCTCAACGACGGCGTCTCAACAAACACATACCATCATGTGTTGGCTAAGCAATATCGTCATACAGGCTAGTAATATCCCCTAAACACAACATACAACTTTTGTTGTACTGTGTGACCAGCTCACTCTCCTAGACACAACATACAACTTTTGTTGTGATGTGTCACTACCTAACTCCCCTAGACACAACATACAACTTCTGTTGTACTGTGTCACTACCTGACTCCACGAGACACAACATACAACTTTTGTTGTACTGCGTCACTACCTAACTCTCTTAGACACAACATACAACTTTTGTTGTGATGTGTCACTACCTAACTCCCCTAGACACAACATACAACTTTTGTTGTACTATGTCACTACCTAACTCTCTTAGACACAACATACAACTTTTGTTGTGATGTGTCATTACCTGACCCCCCTAGACACAACATACAACTTTTGTTGTACTATGTCACTACCTGACTCCCCTAGACACAACATACAACTTTT